TCCTTTTAATGACTAAACACAAAAATATCATTCGATAGCTCAATGAATTACTGCTTTGAAGAGAAAATGACCTCACTCGACAGAAGTTGTTTTTTCAAAAGTCCACAGATATGTATGTAGGCGTCACCAAAAAATTTTCGCCAAAAAAAAATATTAAAAGAAATCGAATAATTCAATAATTAAAGGTTTGCTCATTAGTGACATACGTGTTTTGAAACTCCCTTACAAAAGGTTGCACACACACACACACACACCCACCCACACACAGTGCCTTGCTAAGGGAGCGATTTTGTCAAGAGGGAACGAGAAACTGTTTTCTGAGCAAACCTTTTATTATTGAACCATGGGAATATGGTACAGTATGTTTGAATGTCTGAAAACTGATTGAAACATTTTTTAGTCTCAGATAATTTGTTAGGCAAAAAAAGGCTTCAAACTTCATTGTTATTAACTGCCGAGTTGCATTAATTTTAGCAAGGTGACTCAATCAGTCATTGTCTGTTTCGAGATTTATTGTGTTCGCTAAGCTGTCGTGCCAGTTTTTATAAGCCTTTATTTATTTGTAGCTTTACTTAAATCAATTGAATATATGTTTGCTTCTTACAGAAAACTTTTTGTAGTTTCTATAAAAACATACTTCATATTACATGCCAGTATGCAGCTCTCAAGAAAATGGTCAAGAAAAATATTGCCATTCTTTCGTGTGTGTGTGTCCAAGGAGTTTCGACATCTGATACTTCACAGCCTGTTGCCTCACTCTTTTCTCAAGAAATAATGGAACGGGCATATATTTCCGTTGCAAACATGTGTTGCCTTGTGCTCTTTTTTCACAAAAAACTTTAGAAAACCGTTGTAGAAAGCGTAGCAAATTTCTTAAGGAAATTTGACCCAAGAAAATTTCTTAGCCATTTCTTGTGCGTTATTTTATATGGCGTTTTTGCTTTTCTTGAGAGCTGCATACTGGCCTTTACTGTTAAAAACTCTTCATATTATAATACGCATGAATGACTGAACTGATGAAAAAAGTGAGTTTCCCACTTCTGTATGGGAATCACGGACCTTACAGCGAGTGAAAAAATTAAGGTGGGCTATACATGTCTTGGCGCCCTTCAAAGCACCTGGAGCAGAGGAAATCTGCCCATCTCCATACCCATATGTGGCCCTTTTTCATACCGCTGCTTAGGACTTGCTATTTGTGAGGAACTTTCCGCTACCTTAATAGAATGGAATGGTCCGATATATCACCAAGGTGGTCTTACGTCTTTTCTACTAAAAACTTAGCCTATCGATTTCTGCTCGAACATTCTCGAATACTTCGATACCCGGAAAGCGGGCAACCGAATTCTCGATACAAATTCAAGTATACTCACGCCATACTCATGAGTAATTTCAAGTAGTTATCGAGCCATACGAGCATATCGAGAGTAGCAAAACAAAAAAAAAAGCAAGTAAAATAACTAATGATTTAGCGGCCGCTGTGGTGTAGTGGTTAGCAGTGCACACTACCATTCCGTAGGGACTAGTTCGAGCCCAGTTTCCGACATTAAAAAAAAAATTAAACATAAAATAGTTTTTCTAATAACGGTCGTCTCTCGGCAGGCAATGACAAACCTCGCAGTGTATTGTGCCATGAAAAACAGCTTCTTATAAAAATTCAATCGCCGTTCGTTGTCGGCGTAATTTTGATGAAAAAATAGCTACTGGAAGCTAAATATGTATGTATAGTAGGACGGAGTATTTAACTTCGAAAAAAGTGTATGGCATGCTCGAATTTTACGTTAGATGCTAAGCAAAAATAGTAAACAAACCATATGTGACCTGGTCTACGAAAAGGGAGCTTACGTGCGAAAACTAGTTTTCTGTGAAAAAGCTGTTAAAAGTAAGCAACTCGTTTCGTCAGTTTCTCATTATCTCGTTAATTGTTCTCCGCGCCGGACGTCCAGTAAGTGTTGTTGTTGGTCCAGTAAGTGTTGTTGTTGGTCGGAATATTATAAATATAAATAATATATAAATAAATTATATTTTGTTGTATTTTTACTCTTCTTTCTCTACATTTTTAGTACACTTCTAAGCAAGTTAGGATTTTCTGCTTTTCACCACGTGAATCAACCAAAAAGTGAAAATTGATTTTTTGACATCTAAGCCCCCTTTCCGTAGACCAGGTCACATATATCAAAAATGACGTTTGACCCTCCGTATTAAAAGAAAAATCAGCATGTTATAATTTTTTCTGAATGAAATTAATTTTTCTTCTAAAAATTTTAGTATTTTCTTCATACAATATACTGTTTTTTTTTTTTTAATTGGGAGGGTCAAACGGCTTTTTTGATGCATAGTTTGTTTGCTATTTTTGCTTAGAATTAATCGTAGAATTTGAATTGGCTGTACAGTTTCTTCGAAAATTTTGCTCCGAACAAATTACTCCACCGTAATATATAATATCCACAGCATATTATGCTATATTATTTTCGTTTGATGATGCCAGCAACGAAAGTATGTAAGTAAAAGTAACAAACGTCAAACTTTGAAAACTTTGATTCCAGCATCATCTCACTACCATCACGTAGGTTGGAAAGCAAAGACATCTGGTATTTGCAAAGCGGCTCTTTAAGGGGTGGACAATATAGACCTCAGTGGAATAGAAAATGCATATGGTTTATTTTCTGGATATAGCCGAATACTGCATTTGAAATAAATTAAAAATTTATTTGTTTAAACCCCCTTAATTAAACACACAGCATCCCTATATTGAAATCTACCATCTATGGCCTTCAGAGTCTCACAAGGAAAATTCAGAATTCCATGGATAATAAAGAGTTGATGGTAGATTGGTACCTGCAATCTGATGGTGCTTTCACTGTCCACGCAGAATGCGCACGTCCGGCGCAGAGGGTCGACGTTGCCTGATGCCGTTGGATAGCAAGCGTTTGTAAATTCAGAACCATTGCATCTATTCTAGGACAGGAAAGAGTCAGATTTCGAGCAACGAAACGATACTCCTCCCTCTATTATGGTACATCGTAGTAAACAAACTACTCTACCTTCTCAGTGAAAGAGACTTCGTTGTTCAGGGTTACGCGGAAGACGGACCATGGCGTCGAAGCAGGGGTCTATGCTATACTACCCAGATGTCTCCTATACACTACGTTATATACGTTTTATGCAGATTTCGAGTGGCTGACTATTTTATTTTAAGCATTTCCATGGTGGAAGTACACTCGGGGGTAATACACTCTTTTTAGAGGCCCTTACTTGAGACCCCAGGAGATCTGTGCGCTTAATGGCCGTTTTCACTGTGATTATCAATAAAATATTTAAAATAAAGTTAAGTTAAAAGGAGTTAAGTCAAACGAAGTGAAAACGCTGCTAAGATGAACAAATGCTTGAATTATTATTTTTAAAAATCTAACTTATACCAAATTTCCACTAGGTATTGAAATGACAAAAAATACGTGCCATTTTAAGAGTGGTATGTGGAAATGGATTAAATGACAACTTTTCTTAACGTAATGGTACAGATATTTTTTAATAACAAACTTTGTCATTAAAATTTGTTTCATTTAATGCCTAGTGGAATTCAGGCTGAAGATATACTGAAAAACTGGGAGCCATGCCAATTATGTAGGCAATGTGAGATTGTTTATTTTCTGTTAGGCAGTATTTCAGAAAGGCTGCTTATGTACATTAGCCAAATCAAAATTAATTCTCTACTTGGTTTACTTAATTTTTTTTTGCCATTAAATATTTTTCATTGAATTAATTTTTTTTTTTTTGTAATATTTGCTTATATCTTTTTCATATGTGAATAGAATAACAAAACAATGATCAGATCTCATAGCCAAAATTATCAACAACCATTTGTTTTCATTAAGCTGCTGTGATTCAACAACTGTATATGATGAATTGCCGGCTGTCAGCAAATTATTGTTGGCCATGAATACATCCATATAGCCAGCAGTCCAACGAGTTGTGACTAATGAACTACAAATTTGCAATTTTTTGCCAAAAGCGTAAATAGTCGGAACTCAACACATTAGATGCATGAATCTGCATACTAAATAAACGCAAGGGGAATAGTAAGTTTGTATTAAAAAAATATCAGAAGCAAACTAAAAAGGAAGCATAACCCGGAAATTTCTACAAAGCTAAATAATTAAAAAATTCACACTTAAAAGGTTTTGCTAAACACTCATAATAAAGAATCTAAAAATCAGAAAAGCATTAAAATATATCGTAATCCTGGATATAGCAAAAGTAGTCGATTAGAATGCAGTATTTTCTATAAACTTAAAACATATTTTTCGCATACACTGAGAAAAAAAACGGGTTGTAAGAATAAAAAAAATTTATTTGATTACCGTTTAAAAATGTTCGTTTTTAAATCAAGTGAAAATTTTTAACAAAATGGATTTTTTATTATACATACACTACGTATAATGGAAATATTCAAATCAAATACGCCCGTATTGAAATGAAGCATTTTCACTGCACGGATTCTTTTTCATATGTAATTAAGAAAGCATATGTATACAAAACATGCAAAGCGGTGACAACACATACATACATACATATGTACATACATGGTACGACATCATGCACTAATCGCGCGATGTGATGTTGATTCAAACTCAACATTTGAAAACACATTTACATGTATGGCTCTAGCCGAGTGTGCAAAGACGCTTGATACAATTGATTGCTACCAAGAGCGTCCGGGTTCAATTACCATCAGACGGAACATAAAATTAATTTTTTTCGTCTTAATTTTAATTTCGTATAACGAAAAAGCTTCTGTGCACTTCGCAATGACATATTTTATAACGTTCATTCTCAAATTTAAAACGAGTTGGGTTGGTGCTCTTTCATATGCGTATTTTTTTAAATTTAGCACGTTTTTTTTTTAATTCTAAAATTTTTTCCCTCAGTGTACAAACATAAATAGTATATTTATTATTTGTAATCAATTCAACTTTATATATATATTTTTTTATTTTACACAGACTCATGCTCGCGCCAAGCGTAGTAGCGGTCTAGCTGGTGGTGTTAGCAATTTGGAAAACAAGGATGCCGAGCAACGTTTGCAGGCTTCACTCGATAAATTGAGTTCCGGTGATGAAGGTCCGAACTACAGGTATGTTTTTCTACGAACAGAAACCTTAGAGTGGCCCTTAAAAATAGCAACATTATGGGGCACACCCTTATTTCGATCTGCGTTCAAAATAAAGATTTCGGCGAAATTTTCACAATTAAAAAAAGAGTCGCTACCAAGTCTAGAAAAAATTCACTTCGGTTTTAAATAGCAAAACTTCTACAAAATTTTGGTTCTGGCCAGCTATAACTTAGCGAATGAATGAATTTATGTAAATAAGTTTCAATAATATGTCAAATTTATCAGATTTCAAGTCAAAATTTTGTCGAATTTTTTTGATTAAAAAAATAAATAAATTTTTTCAAACTCATAAAAATATCGAGCCCTAACCGCGAAAAAAACGTAAGCGACATTTTTTCAAAATCTTATTTTTGATGCAGAAATGCATCTAGATGCTCTAGGAATATTTCTGCATCAAAAAGAAAATTTTGAAAAAAATGTCGCTTACGATTTTTTGGCGGTTAGGGCTCGATATGTTTAAAATTTTGAAATTTTTCTGGGTGTCTTTATTTTGTACGTAGTTCAAATCAAAAGAGTGGCCTTATACACAATTTAGATGTTGATAATAAGGACCACCCTAAGAAATTTGTATGATGAACTTTTCACAAAACAATAGGAGAATTTTGTACGTTAGAAACTGCCTCGAAAACCTCAAAACTTTGACTGAAATGAATGTGAACATTAAGTTGCATCACTAAAAAATGTTTCGAGTTCTCCACCCGAATTATGAAACTTACATATTCAATTTAAGACTTCCGACAAAAATTATTTCGGAAAAATATTAAGATTTATGTACGTGAGCTAGACATATTTCAAAATAACCCTAAAAATCTCATTATTTTGATTTCGTTGATAAAATTTTTAATCATTTTTATATATAAATTTCACGCTTAAGCTCTTCGATCATTTGAGCTAATTTTTTAGAAAAAATATTTTTAAAACTAATCACGTAAATTTCAAAAAATTTTGCCGGAATATTTTGGCGAAATTCTTAAAATATAATAAATTTTCTATTTCAGTACTGATTTTTTTATAAGTATGTACATTAGGGTGGTCCTTAAATGTAGTAAGCAAATTTTTGCATCAGATTTCCTTAGCCTCAAACCCTACGTCGATGGTGCTATAGTCGAAGATATCACATAATTAATTTTGGTCCCGTCTTAACCGACTCCAATCAGGACCAAAATTTATAAGTGATACCCGCGACTTTAGTAGAACCGATTTTGGGAATTAAATGAGAAAAAATATTTTTAATTTAATACCCACGCCTTAAATTAGTTTTAATTTTTTGGGTCTCTATAGGGGACTCGCCCCCCTCCCCCCTCTGCGATACGCCTTAACCGTCTCCAATCGGGACCAAAATTTATATGTGATATCTGGGGCCGTGGTATTACCGATTGAGGGGGTAAGACTGAAAAAAATCGTTAATTTTATTTTTTTAAGGATCACCCTAGTGTACATACATTTGTGGTTGGTTTTGTAAGCTTAGAGAGAAATTTTAAATTTCGACTCAAAATCTATGAATCAATTTTCCTTAATCGAATTTATTTTGTAGGCCGAGATAATAGTACAAAATCCAAAATTGTTGGCCAAAAGTTTGCAGATACAACCACATACATAAACATAAGCTCAAACTTAACCCCACCCGCCCATTTGCTTTCCAATTACAGAATTTCGCAAATATTTTCCGCCACCACCCAGGTCGTTTCGGGCACTTTAACCAAAATAGATGCTGAGCTCATTGAGGAGAACGGTGAGAAAATACGTTGCAATGTCAAAATATGGTCACAGCCATGGCTGCCCAATGGCATTGAAGTGACCTTTAAGTGTCCCAATAAAGATTTGGTGAAACGTCGTCACAGCCGCTCTGTTGAGCATCTGGAAAAGAAGACACACAAGAAACGCAATCATCACAGCTTGGACAAAACCGAACATTTGTTCAGCAAATTCCAAATTAAGTACAATCGTCGCTATCACACTGCAATGGAGCATCAAATGCGCTTGAGAATTTTCAAACAAAATTTGCAAACTATCCAAGAATTGAATCGTAATGAGATGGGTAAGTGTACATATGGTTTATGGTATTTTTTGTGTACGTTGGTTTGTGCGCGGTTGTGTATATGAGCGGGAAGCAAAAGTTTTACTTCCTCTGGTACAAACGTGCGCTATCATTAAATTTCATTTCCTCGCATTCACTCTTTTCACGATTTTTTATTTTCCTATTCTCTGTACTCTTCTGTTTTACCAGGTAGCGCCAAGTATGGCATAACAGAATTTGCTGACTTGACTAGCACCGAATACAAACAACGCACCGGTCTGTGGCAACGTTCAGTGGATAAGCCAAGCAAGAATGCACTTGCTATGATTCCCAATGTGGAGTTGCCAAAGGAGTTCGATTGGCGAGAGAAGGGTGTTATTTCGAATGTGAAGAATCAAGGAATGTGCGGTTCGTGTTGGGCATTCAGTGTAACGGGCAATGTGGAGGGCTTACATGCAGTGAAGACGGGCAAATTGGAAGAATACTCGGAGCAGGAGTTGCTTGATTGCGACACCACCGATTCGGCATGCAATGGTGGTCTAATGGATAATGCTTATGAGTAAGTGTGTGTCTTGTGACGAGTAATTAGATATCTAGCTATGTGGCTGCTTTCGAATGTCAATTAAATATTTTTTGTTTCAAACTTTAGAGCGATACAGCATATTGGCGGTTTGGAGTTGGAATCCGAATATCCGTATGAAGGACACAAGGACCAGTGCCAATTCAACAAGTCAATGGCGCATGTCAAAGTGAAGGGTGGCATTGATTTGCCCAAGAATGAGTCGGCCATAGCACAGTGGCTGATTACCAATGGACCTGTGTCGATTGGTAGGTATTGTTGCTAATGTTATTTTTATTTGAAATTGAATAGGAAAGAAGATTATAAATAGAAGCGGATAATGAGGGTACTTGTTATAATAATCAGTTATCTATGTATATATAAAAAAAATTAAATGGTGTTCGTTGGTGGAGCATCACTTAACAATGGCTAGACGGAGTATATGGACGCGGTCCAGACATACATCGACCAACAACGACGACATCGACGACGTATCGACGAGTGATCAACGGCATTGATAGAGATTTTGTCGCTCTCGCAACAACAACTACAGTCCAGATATTGTAGCCGCCTAAACAGCTACCTATCTATGTATATTCTATCCCGATATGTCCATGTCCAGCATGTAGAGACCACACCAACCCCAATCATACACCCTTCAAAAATATCGAAATACTTTTCAGACTGAGCTCGAAGCAATAAAAAAGACTGCAAAACATGCACACGCATGAGGAAAACGGCTACTCGTCGTCAATCTGCATAGGTATACTAAATAGGTCTCGGGGCACGATGGTGTTCCTGGAAATAAGGAAGCATACTAGTGGCGGGTAAAACAGCTATGACAAAAGATGAACAACAGGTTGAATAATCTAAGCAAGTGCACAATATGGCAACGGATTTTCCTAGGATCTCCAAACCCAACATAGTGCTGCTCGTGGGAATATGAATGCGACACAGAACAAGATTTGGATAGTTTAGTAAAAAAAAAACTTTGATACAATTTTGTGTACTTCCGGAACCGTATAAGAGGTATATGTAATGTTATCCTATGCTTGCCCTTCAAATAGAAGGATGGATTATAAATGATAAGTCTCCAATTCTGGCGAAAGCACTTACGCCTATGTGAAAGGACAAGAAGTGGTTAACAGTAGACAATTGCTGAGGTTTCAAACTCGTTTTTAGGAAAAAAAGGGATTACACTATTTTGTCACAGTCACTCTGCCTTTCCTTTTGATCTGTCGGGGCGATAGGTTATGCGGTCTATATTATTCATTTATTTATTTTTTACCGATGTTCACTCAGAGAGTTACCACAACCATGAATTCTGCGCAATCTATTTATTACACAAATTTTTTTCAGAATTGAGTACGTTCCCGTGAGTGCCAAATGGGGACGAGTCTTCCGAGGCAGCCAAAGCTCTGCCGCGGCATTCACAGGCCGAGAGTCGGTGAAAGTCGAGGCGGACTTCCTGTGAATGTCGTGCCCATAGGTGGTTTTATGAACCTCTGATCTTCGTCCGTCAGTTCGTATAGTTGCCTAACGACGTGCCTAGGCGATGGCTCTGCTGCAAGCACGTGTCTGCTTGGGTGCCTGCCTAAAATGCATTTGGTCATGGAAGGACAACTCTTTGCGTAGCAGGAGACATTCCAAAAGAGGCGATTTCTAATAGATAAAATGGAGTTTGTTTTAACAAAGCTGCTGCTATTGGTATGTTTACCAACCTCGGTTTATTTTGAACACGTCTAATACATATATATGTCCGCTTTTGAAGGAAAGCCGCATACCAACCTTCCTTTCCGCTGTCGCCTTAAACTCACTCATCTAACACCACTTTCCTATTGGTTCAAAACCCGCTTTTCCCTGGACCTGTCATTAGTTGAGCCTTGCGATAGCTATTGAAGGATGGATTTGTCGCACAAAGCATATCTGAAGAGCTCGGTTTTTTNATGAGCATAAAAAGTTCTATTGATCTGCATTTTTCGTTTTTGCATAGCTGAACGGTCGGTATTCTAGATTTCTTCCAGGAAATGACGAGTATCTGAAATCAAAAATGCATATTTTTATGTATTGTTTAGTATTTCCATTAAAATACCAAATATATTGCAAATTTGCATAGAATAAATAATACACTTTTTACTTCTAATTGTATACTTTGCGTACCGTTTTCGCAAAAGGCGATCACATTCTTCCCCTTTCTCCAACTTCCAAAATACAAATCTAGATAAAGGAGTGTCAGATTTTAGCTGTCACAAATTACATAACCTTGTATTATTGAATCATGGTAAATTTGTTAATTCTTTTTCAGTTATGTTACCTTTTTTGATTATAAACTCAAAATTACATTTTACTTTAAAAAATATTTCGTTTAATATTGTTATGTCAGTATAAAGTTCATCCATTTTAATACACATTTTTTCGTGTAAATTACTGGAATATACTTATATTTATAATTGAAGAAATATAGTATTTTCGCGTACTATATTTTTTTCCAACAGTATGTACGCCGACCGGGGAAATAGTACAATACTATATATTATAGTACGGTTGGCAGCCCTACTTAACCCTCTCCCCTACAATATCCTCAGCCACACTGTTTACCACCTGGACGAAGGAGGTCAGACTACAACTGGTAATTTACGTCGATGACGAACCATTTCCGACGGCGAACAACCCGAAGATCGTCGGAGTAACTTTTGACAGTCTGCTCTCCTTCTTGGCGCATAAAACCGCAATTGTCAACAAAGTACAAAACCGCAACAAGGTCCTCAAGTCGCCAGCCGTCAGCGCCTGGGGCAAAGACCGTTTCTGAACTATACAGAGCATGTGTGGTCGCCGGGAACCAGTAGGACGCAGTGGATGAAGCTGCAGACCTGCCCGAACACGGCACCCAGGACACCGACAGGATGCCTTTTGAAGTCGCCGCAACATCACGTGCACGTCGAGGCCCATATGCTCCCCGTTAAGGAGCATAACGCAATGCTCTGCAAGCAGTTTCTAGTTGGGAGCCACAGATGTGGTCACCCAAACAGACAGATGCTTACAGAAGGGCGAGGGCCCAGGCACGTCAGGTTCATCAAACAACCTCTGGACCCGAGAGTTTATCAACAGGCGTTGAACGGCATTCACAGAAAGGCAGTCTCGAGTTATGTAGACTCTCGACCTGTGAATGCCATTCTGGGCACACAACCACCAGACGTGGACGAGACAGAACTTCGCCTGCCTCGGGAGACTCGGACCACAATAGTCCAACTGCGCTCTGGTTACTGCAGCAGGTTAAACTCATATATGAGCAGAATAAAAGAAGATGTTCTAAACGAATGCTCGGTATTCGGAGAGACGCCCCATGACTCACATCATCTCTTCGCATGCCCACTGAACCCCATCCCACCCTACTGACGAACCTGTCCCTGGGACTACCGCTAGTAGAGCTAGACGACAACAATTAAAGGACTAACCGATCTGGGCGGGATTGTTGTAGCCGCTACAACAACAACAGCAGAAATAACAACAACAAATTTTCAAAAAATCACCGAAAATATTGGGTCTCTTCCCAATTCCACATTATTATACTAAATATACTACCTTGCTCACCTTTAGTTTATGCACTTCATATCGATGGCTGGTGGAAGATCGACCTATCTCGGCAGCCAGTTCGAAAACGCCCTATCTCAGAAAATTTTTGAACAACGCTCTATTTCAGAAAATTATTTGAGAACACCCTTCTTCAGAATTTGATTGAAGAACGANGAAAATTTTTGAACAACGCTCTATTTCAGAAAATTATTTGAGAACACCCTACTTCAGAATTTGATTGAAGAACGCCCTATCCCGGAATTTAGTTGAAGAACGCCCTATCTCAGCTGCCGATTCAAAATCGCCCTATCTCAGCTTATTTTCAATGTATTTTAGTTTGCGATAGGGCGTTTTTGAACCGAATTCTGAGATAGGGCGTTATTCAACCAAATTCTGAGATAGGGTGTTTTTCAATAAAATTCTGAAATAGGGCGTTTTTCAATCAACTCTGAAGTAGGGCGTTCTTAAATAGTTTTCTGAAATAGAGCGTTGTTCAAAAAANTCAATAAAATTCTGAAATAGGGCGTTTTTCAATCAAACTCTGAAGTAGGGTGTTCTTAAATAGTTTTCTGAAATAGAGCGTTGTTCAAAAATTTTTTGAGATAGGGCGTTTTGGAACTGGCTGCCGAGATAGGTTGATCTGCCATCAGCCATCGATATGAAGTGTATAAACTAAAGGTGAGCAAGGTAGTATATTTAGTATAATAATGTGCAATTGGGAAGAGACCCGAAATTCTCGGTGATTTTTTGAAAATGTGTTGTTGTTGTTATTTCTGCTGTCGTTGTTGTAGCGACTACAACAATCCCGCCCAGATCGGTTAGTCCTTAAATTGTTCTTGAAATGTTTTTTGAGATAGGGCGTTTTTGAAGTGGCTGCCGAGATAGGTCGATCTTCCACTCAGCCATCGATATGAAAGTTTCATACAATCTTGAAGCAGAAATATTTCAAAGTGTGTGAACCAAAGGCGGCAGGGTAGTAAATGGGCTGTTAAACTGCATACCCGCAATTTTCTTAAAAATTTTTATTAAAAAGCTTGAAAATTTTATGCATTTTTAAAATTTCGTACAAAGTTTAAAACTTTTATTTATTGTATATAGTTTTTACAATAGTGTAAACTATATAAAATCATATTTTTTACTACGTATATAAAATTATATATTTTTTTTTATAAATTTCCCAAATTCTACCTCATTTTGTTTTAAATGCGGTAGCAAATGTATGTCGAAAATTTTAAACCAATATTGTTTTCTTTTTTTATTTCAGGTATTAACGCAAATGCTATGCAATTCTATCGCGGTGGCGTCTCTCATCCATGGAAAGCATTGTGCTCTAAAAAGAATCTCGACCATGGTGTTCTTATTGTCGGTTATGGCGTTTCCGACTATCCAATGTTCAAGAAGACACTACCCTACTGGATTGTAAAGAATTCCTGGGGACCTAAATGGGGCGAACAAGGCTACTATCGCGTGTACCGTGGCGATAATACATGCGGTGTCAGTGAGATGGCCTCCTCGGCAGTGCTTGATGACTAAATCAATCGGCGTTAATAAAAAAAAATTACAACTTCAAGCATGCAATTCATATAACCACATTATTCGCCGAATAAGTGAATAAACAAAACATACAATAATTAGTATTTAGCAAATAAACTCACACATTAACCAAACACAGCATTCAAATAAAATGACAAAAGGCGCAGGAAGGGAAATTTGGAAAAGTCATCTTATCTCATTTTTAAACGCGCAAAAACTCACAAAAATAAAAAGTTGAACAGAACTAAATTAAAATTTATGATCATCTAATTGCAAGTGATCCTCAAAATATTTTATAACTCATCACTACTAACACTCACATACGAAAAACTTTGTATCAATCCTTTAATTTTCACGTATATTTTGTAATGTAATCGTTAAATTATACTCGTACATACATACATTAATATTTTATGTGAAACTACATATAAATACAAATAATAAACGTTCTTGTAGAAGTTCATAAAAAATTCCATATTATATTGACAATTCAATGTTCATACTCGCTGAGTTTGATAAGTAATAACCGCAGCTTTCGGGCCTCCAAGCCGATGGTCAATGGATCTGGGGGCACTTCATCAGCGGCAGTGTAAATATTTGCGGGCGTGAAGAGGCCGTAAACTGGAAGAAGGCAATCATTTTATGTAAATTAAGTACATCCATATCGTCGTTTAAAGTATCAACAAAAAGCAAAACCGCGTACCAAGATAATGCAAAACCGCGTTGTGAGGTTGCATACATTATTTTCTAGAAAGTAAAAACACTCATATTTCAAAATTGGTCTCTTTTTTATAAAGCAATCACATTTCTGGCTAGTATATTTCAGAAAGAATGGTAAACCTTCGTAAAATCCATTTGCCGGTCGGAGGTGGGGTAAAACTTTAGGTCCCACCGTTCGTGTAACAAAATCAAGAGCCACCCCACAAATTGGAGGAGAGACTCGGCCAAATTCTTAGCAAATTGTAAGCGCCAAAATATTGGGGCATATTTATAGTCAAAATAAAGTCGAGTCTAAAGTTAGTTGGCTGCTTATTGGCATAATTGTCACTATTTGTCAAAAAATCTATAGCAGTTTCCAAGCTGACATCCGTAATTTAACTAAAGCAGCANGGCGTGAAGAGGCCGTAAACTGGAAGAAGGCAATCATTTTATGTAAATTACGTACATCCATATCGTCGTTTAAAGTATCAACAAAAAGCAAAACCGCGTATCAAGATAATGCAAAACCGCGTTGTGAGGTTGCATACATTATTTTCTAGAAAGTAAAAACACTCATATTTCAAAATTGGTCTCTTTTTTATAAAGCAATCACATTTCTGGCTAGTATATTTCAGAAAGAATGGTAAACCTTCGTAAAATCCATTTGCCGGTCGGAGGTGGGGTAAAACTTTAGGTCCCACCGTTCGTGTAACAAAATCAAGAGCCACCCCACAAATTGGAGGAGAGACTCGGCCAAATTCTTAGCAAATTGTAAGCGCCAAAATATTGGGGCATATTTATAGTCAAAATAAAGTCGAGTCTAAAGTTAGTTGGCTGCTTTTTGGCATAATTGTCACTATTTGTCAAAAAATCTATAGCAGTTTCCAAGCTGACATCCGTAATTTAACTAAAGCAGCTGGGTCGGTTGCGGATCCAACCGCTTAAAACTTTTCAACTACAGATTTTCTACTGGGCTGCACAAAGCAGCCAACAATTTTCTGCTGGGAAAAACGCAAATTTTACTCGTACCCACAACTAAGCTGCTTACACACCAANATTGTTCTCTTTTTTATAAAGCAATCACATTTCTGGCTAGTATATTTCAGAAAGAATGGTAAACCTTCGTAAAATCCATTTGCCGGCCGGAGGTGGGGTAAAACTTTAGGTCCCACCGTTCGTGTAACAAAATCAAGAGCCACCCCACAAATTGGAGGAGAGACTCGGCCAAATCTTTAGCAAATTGTAAGCGCCAAAATATTGGGGCATATTTATAGTCAAAAAGTCGAGTCTAAAGTTAGTTGGCTGCTTTTTGGCATAATTGTCACTATTTGTCAAAAAATCTATAGCAGTTTCCAAGCTGACATCCGTAATTTAACTAAAGCAGCTGGGTCGGTTGCGGATCCAACCGCTTAAAACTTTTCAACTACAGATTTTCTACTGGGCTGCACAAAGCAGCCACCAATTTTCTGCTGGGAAAAACGCAAATTTTACTCGTACCCACAACTAAATGTGCGATGGCTTAGAACTTGTTGTTGTTGCCAATTTGTATTTACCTACAACAAATCCTTTTTTCTGTTTTACTTAATATCCTTTTTTGCTTGCCTTTTCTTTATTGGAATTTATCAATAATTTTTCTTACCTTCACAAGTTTTCAAGAAATTCATCACTTCCTGCACAGCCGGATATGGTAAAATAATATTCTGCTTCGCCATACCTGTCAGCAGTCCCAACACGCAGCGCTTCACATGCAGCCAAGTGTCGGCATAGAGCCGCGCACCATTACCACCCTCGAGTGCGTGTGCGATGCGCGACAAACCGAATTCATAATTGGATTTGGCGCAGTAAAGGGTGCCTACAACCAAATTGACAATGCACAAATGATGATACTGCTTGCCCGTATTGCCCTTTAACTCCTCAGCCTTCTCTACTTTGCGCATCAATTCCTCGGCTTCCTCATTTTGAAAGGTCATGATGTAGGAGACGCACAGATTAGCCAACACGGCGGCTGGTACGGACATTATCTATAAGCAGCTGAAGATTATTAAGAAATAATGTTGCAACTGGTACGGAAAACTACTCACATCATCATTGTGCTGGCGTACGATAGGCTCATAGAAGGCAGCCGACTCCTTGTACTTGTCGCCTTGCATGAAGAGCACATGGCCGGCATTGAGACGCCATACAGAGTTCTCCGAACAGAATTCAGCGCTTGCGCGGAACTCACGCTCCGCGCCCACAAAGTCATCGTCGCGCCAGTAAATCCAAGCGCGCGCCAATACAACGGGCATATAACTGGGGAAAGTTGCATTTTAAAAAGATCTTGATACGTCAAAATCAATCAATAAAATTGCCTACAGTTCCAAAGCATTCTCGTAGTCCTGCAAAGCGCTGCGCAGTGCCGTCTGATCGGTAGTGCCGCGCATCTCTTGCACTTTAGCGGCCAGACTGCGTAGCTTACCAGCCAAGCTAGACGCTAGTACGCCTAGTTTCTTCTCCGCCAATTCTGGGGAAGTTTGCGCGGTTATCAAGGCATCTAACAGCTCGTAGAGGTACTGGTTTTCAGCGAGAAGAAAAGAGCGTTGCAAATTAAAGAAAATTAAAAGAATAAAATACAGTTATTCCCCCTTACCTGCGACAGATACTTATAGGTTAGATCTGTATGCTCCGCTAGTATATCCGCCGCCATTTCGTACATCTCGTTCTTACAGCAAATTAATAAAATGTTGGCGAACGTCTCCTTCGGACAGGCGGGCGGTCCGAGTTGCAGTAGGAATGCTAATTTACGCAAACCAGCCACAGCGCCCTTGGGATCAGTCAGCGCCATATTATGCAACGTAACCGGATCTAGCTCACTCTCAGAACGTGGTGGCAAATCTAAAAGCGCATCATGTGCGGCATCAGCTGGGATACGCAAAAGTGTAGTAGAAGACAAGCACATAATTAACATCTCCACTTGATTCATTTCCACGAACTACCCACTATTGCCATCCTGATACTCGATGGCCGCTTTCAAATTCAGCGCTTGTGTTATGCCGGATATGGCCATGGTAATTGGATTTCCCACACTGCGTGCACTGCCATCCGTATCGATTTGTGCGCCAATGCCCAACTCCGGATGATTGCGTATGCCGCGGTCCACAATCTCCGCTAATGGAATTTGCAGTATAAAGAACATAAAAAAAAATATAAAGAAGAAACGGTAGAGAAGGAAATAACACAACAAATCAATCAATTTAAATTTAGCTTCTTGTCATCGCCCCTCCCGCACTTCCCTCTACTTCACTTACAAGTGTACTCAATGGCTTGCGTCTTCTCTTTTTTGTGATAGTGCGACAATGCTAAATTGTAAGCCACTAGCGGATTAAAACCGCCCACTTTTAAGGCGTTCGAGAAGCGTTGCACAGCATTCTCGTATTGGTCGGCGTGAAAGAGTAGGCAACCCTCATCGTTGAGTGTGTCCGCATTGCCAGCCCCACGTTGATTCAATATACTCTGTGCGCCCGCAAAGTCCTCACTTGAGTAGAGTATGGCACTTTGCAATTGCAGGCAGGACTCCCGCAGTCCCTCGTGGTCGCTGATTTGTTTTAATGCGCGCAAAGCATCGCTGAAAATACCTGCCTGGTACAAGGACTGCGCGTAGTAAAATCTAAGATGGAGTTTTTTCATTAAGTCGCTTCTCTTTTGCACTGAATTTAATCCCCCCAATTTACTTATATTTCGCTTCCTTCGGCACCAGCGTACACAATTGCTCATAGCAAGTTGCAGCCTCCTCGTATTTCTGCGCGTGATAGTAGCAGTAGCCCAGTGTGGAAAGACCAGCTCTGGTGTTGGCTGCTTCGCCAAAATTCACCATGCACTCGATTACATCATCGTAACGCTTGTCCTTTATCTAAAGGACATAAATATCACAAAACCTGACTGAAACCTGTATGAAAAGAATTCTTACCAAATTATAAATGGTACGCGTAACATGTCCTTCTCGTAGTATTATTCCTTGATGTAACATTTTGAATAACTGTAAATAGTCTGCTTAATCGAAAATCTGATTTGTTCCTTGGTTGGAAGTAAATACACTCTCTGGCATAATCCTGTAACTATGTAATTCATATGGTTACAAATACGAAATGCAGCCGGTGTTATTGTTTCTACACATTTGTTGCCATTAGCAACTGACTCAAATGCGGCGGTGAATATCCCAAACAAAAGCACCAACACAAAAATAAGCGGATTGCATTAATTACGTCACACAGTAGAAGGAGTGGTCAGAATTACTTGAATCTTTACTCCTCAAAGGATTACATTCCCGTTATTTAAAAAACTAAATCGTTTCTTTGAACCGGTTACTAATTTCGAAAAAAAACTTTATATCTTTTAAGTACTACTATGGATTTCATCTAAATTTGTCCAGCCGTTTCTGAGGGAAGAGAGTTTAAATTTGAAGT